GACTACTTGTTTCATAGAGGAAATATGTCATTTTAGTGATGGTGGATAGAATGACAAAATATGGTCAATTCTTGGCTCTAGCTCACCCCTATACTGCTAGAGAAGTGACCCTTGCCATTCTATGAGTCTTTAAACTACATGGAATACCCCGATCAATTGTAAGTAGGGGTGTTCACGGGTCGGGTTGGATCGGTTTATTGGGGTTTTCCCAACCGACCCGACCTGGTCGGGTTATCTGAGGTGGAAACCGAAACCGACCCACTGATAGGCCAAACCGACCTGGTCGGTTTGAGTCGGGTTGGGTCGGTTTGGGTTGGTTTCGGTTTTGCTCCTGTACAAAAGGACCTAATTGAATTCTAATTGTAATTGCCTAATGGGTTGCCTATTTGGTGTAAAAGATTATAGAAAGTTAGAAACTAGGATAAATTGCCTATTCTAATTGTAATTGCCTAATGGGCCTTCTAGTTCTAGTAGAAGACTAGTTATAGTTAAGTAGGAAACTACTCAAACTAGGAACTAACGAACTAGTAGATGACTAGTTCGTTTCGGGTCGGGTCGGTTTCTGAAAACCGAAACCAACCCGATATATCGGTTTATATATTTGTCCAACCCGAAACCAATCGGTACTGATGAAAACCCAGCTGACTCGGGTTGGTCGGTTTGGTCGGGTTGGGCATTCTTATGAACAACCCTAATTGTAAGTGATAGAGACCCCAAATTCACCAGTAATTTCTTGTGTGAGCTGTTCAAACTTCACGGAACTCAACTCAACATGGGATCTTCCTACCATCCCCAATCAGATGGGCAAACTGAGGTCTTATACGGGGAGCAGGTGGTTTTGTAAGGTGCTTTTGCAACTCATAACCTCAGAGGGGGAGCAGGTGGTTACCCTTGGTAGAATGGTGGTACAACACCACCTACCATTCAACAACTCAAATGACTCCATTTGAGGCTTTATATGGATTTCAAGCTCCTACTCTACTATCCTTTGTTCCAAGTACTACACATGTACAGGCAGTAGAGCAAGAGCTCAAAGACAGAGAGATCATATTAACTCTGTTAAAGGAAAATTTGTGATTTTCTCAAGCCCAAATGAAGAGAATGGCTGATAGGGACAGGATTGAGAGGTCCTTCAATGTGGGAGACCGGATATTCTTAAGGCTACAGTCATACCACCAAAGTTCAGTATCCACCAAAAAGAACAAAAAATTGGCCGCTAAATTCTATGGGTCGTCTATGATAACCCAGAAAATCGGTCTAGTGGCTTATCGTCTCTAGCTTCCAAAGGGATGCAGGTTCACCCTGTATTCCATGTCTCATGCCTCAAGGCCAAGGTGGGAGAACATAATGCTAGCCCCACCCTTCCACCCTTAACTAAAGAAGGAGCCCTTAGACCTTGCCATGTTGCTGTGCTAGACTGGAGAATGAGGTGTCATGGACAAAGAGCCATTCCTGAATGGCTGATACAATGGGAAGGAACTACTCCGCTTGATGCCACTTGGGAACGGGTGGACTTCCTCTACCGCAACTTTCCAAATGCTCGCCTTGAGGACAAGGCAAATCTCGAGATGAGAGGGATGATACAACTCGAAGATGTAGGTGGCTAGCTGGCAAGCAACCTGACTATTTCGCTCATGTAGGCGTAACAACATCATGAAGGGTTGTGACAATTATATTGGATATTCATGCCAACCATTGTGACCATTATTATCTATATTCGGTTGAGACACGTGTCATGTACTTCTATATTTCCCTGATGATTGTCCAATTCACTCTCTATGAACAGTGCTCGCCCAGAAAAAGAGCTGGATAACAATAAAAAAGCTGCAGCTTTGAAACGAGTTAACTGAATGCAATAGTTATTCAGCGCGTTGGCCAGTAATAAAATACATGACCTGTGATCATTTAATTTCTCAAATAATCCGAACCAGTTCCACCATATTTTAGCAAATCCACTAATACTTTGTCTTTACCACATGGGTTCCACTAAGTTATTATTTTTTTATAAGTTCACCGAAATCATTATCATGTGCGTCAACATCATATGAAATTATCACATGCACATTTAATAATCAATTATTTCACAATTTTAACTCTTTTAATTTTTTTAATCCAATTAATCAATCATGGATTCATGGAACATGGGCATCTTTTTTAACAATAGGTGAATAATCATACGGTCTATTTAACAAAGAACATACAAACAAATATATAAGAACTCACAGACTGTATGGTAACTCTAATTAATGACTCGTCAAAGCAAGACTTAAGAAACAGGTTTGTATTTATTCGTCAATCTCTTATCTTTGATCAGTCCCAGTGTAAGCGTAATTGCCACGTGGCAAACTGATTGATCCTTGCTTTCTTTTTCTTTTGTAAAAATTGATTCTTGGGGCTGCGGGCTGCGACCGACTAGCAAAGATATCCATCCGGTTCCGTGTTCGTTCCGAATTAGTTGGCCCGCGCGTGTTGCCCACACGTTTCCTATTGGTCCGGATTAGCACAAAACCCGCACAAAGCTGTGGAACCAATTACAGTCTTACACGTCATATTTACACGTGAATGCTTCTCGCATGTGTGAGTCCTGACGAGAGATCAGAGGTGTCACGAATCCGTTGTTTCCGCCGGTGCTCAGTCCGTCTTCGTCTTCTTCCTCATATCCACTGTAGCGAAGGGAAAAGGAGGAAAGAACAAATTGCAGAAGAGAAGGGAAAAAACTCAACTATCATTTTCCCGGTTTTCTTCATTTTGTTAAGTCCCAAACGCCCCAGAAAGGCTGAAACTTATCCGATTCCTCCCGGTTGTCTTCATTCGAAAGCATTGGTAATAACTCAATGCAGTTGCAGTGAAATGAAGACGGGTGTTCACCACTAAGATTGTTGAGGTTGTTTACCGCCCAAATAAGACAACACTTCTGTATCTTCGGAGGCGGTGACAAAGGTGAGAGTTAAAACGCTGCTGGAAGGAAAGCGTGGTGGCCAGTGACGATTGGCGGTGATAGGTCAGTTTTGCCTTCCAGTTTCTTCGCTTCGTTTTTGATTCTTTTTAATGAGGAAGGAGTTCGGCTTCGGTCAGGGCACCCACGTTCGAGCAGCCTTTACAGTCTCACATTGAGAATATTTCCCTCCTTATCTAGTTATGTGCCTAATTGCCTTCTTTCATTGGGGCTCAATGCAAAATTGGAACGGTGTGGGTACGGATTGGAAGAGTTTTAGAGAGGAATCCGACTTCAGTCCAGACAGTTTTGGTGAAGGCAACGTTCGCGCAAAAAGAGGATGCGCCACGCGTCCTCCACATACTTTAAATTGTTTGAGGCATGCGGAATGTTTAAGTCGTGTTTAACGCCGTTAGCTTGCAAACAAAATCCACTTTTTCGAATCTTCTGACCTCTCTACTCTCTCGTTCGAGTGTTGTTTGCAAACAACTTCTACGGGCTGACCCGTGGGTCAAGCTTTGGGTCAGATTGGGCCATGGATCGGATTAAAATTATTTGTTTAAAAATTAAAAAAAAAATAATTTATATGAATTTTGCTGTATATAATTGCTTATATATATAATAATTAAATAAATTAGTATAATAAAATAAAAAACAATTATTTATTTTATTAATATATTATATAATATATTATTGTATAATTATAATTTATATAATATTATATATAAATAATATATATGGGTTGTGTTGGGTCGTGCTAGCACGCTGGCCGTGGGCGGTTTGGATGGCAGCCATCGACGATTGTGACACTGGATACCGATGACAATTAGTTTCATGCAATGTTTTAAAAAATGACTTAAAAATGGAACCATTCTAACCACTAGTTTTTGAGTTGACGGTCCGACCATCAAGTTCGGATAGACGACTCATTCACACAAAAATTAAAAAATAAAAAAATAATTAAAAATAAAAATAATAAAAAATCGTTGAACGGGTCGATGGTTTAACCACTTGGGTCAATAGATTGTTGGCTTTTTCAACATTTTTTAGCCAAAGATGGGGTTTAGAGTAAAACAGAATCAATTTCCTATACAGTTCCCAGGTCAAACGATTCCACCGTTTAGATCAACAATGATTCAAAAACCATGGTTTTAGGTATGTATATCTTTTTATATGTTAAAAAAAATTAACAAAGACAAAAAAACAAATGTTGTAGCATTTTATACATTTAAAAGCTAACCCTAACTAATTTGTTTTGTACATTAACAAGTTATGGTTTTGGAGAAAAACAAAACGAAGGAAGATGTACATATCTACAAATTGATTTGTCGCTGGTTGCTGGTATCCGATGATGATGGCTACCATTCAAACAGATTAGGGTTAATTTTCATKGAAGAAATGCAAAGGAGAAGAATTAAAAAAAAAGACATTGCTTGAGGTTGACCCCGATTGCTGGTGATGGTTATTTGTCGCCACTAGAAGTGTAAATCGAGCCATGCCACCTGTTGCTCGACATGGCCCAACATGATAGCATGCAGGTCATGCCAGGACCGGCACAATCATGTGGGTCATGCTGGGCCTGGGGTTTTATGTCCGTGGGTCAGGCTAACACGACACGACCGAGCGGGCCGTGCTGACCACGACATGTGTGCCAATACAACCAAGAACAATCCATAATTATATAATAATATATTAATAAAATAAACAAATGTTTTTAATTTTATTATACTAATTTATTTAATTATTGTATATATTAAAATTTATTTAAAATTAAAATTAAAATTTTTTATTTTTTTAAATAAATAATTTAGCCCGGCTCATTGGCCCGTCCGTGGGTCTTATTTTCAAGCAACACTCGAGCGAGAGAGAGGAGCGAACTCGAAAAAATGAATTTTATTTGCAAACTCACGGTATTAAACATCCCGCATGCGTAAAACATTTTAAATTAAGTGGGGTATCGTTTGCGCGAACCTTGCTCTCACCGAAACTGCCACTGAAGCCGGTCTCCTTAGAGATAGAAACTGTAATTCCACAAATTTTCGCTAGCTAAGGTAATTCGCACATGCGGATCATTTCGTGTCTATCTCTCACAGTCCGTCAGTTTCTGGAAGGACACAACAGCCCACCTGTTACCTGTGACCTTTCTATCTGTATCTTTTGATCATCTTCCAACTTTTCTATCCACTTTCTATTATTAACAAGAGGGTCGTCTTCGTCTCTCTTTTAAGTTGTCAGTTTCTGGACACAGCCGCCTGCAACCTTTCTGTATCTCTTATCTTTCTGGTCATCTACCAACTTCTCCCCCCTTTCCTACGGATTTCTGGGCTTTCTGCTCCTCCTCTCCTTCCAAATTTCACTTCACTTGGAAATCTGAAGCTTCAGTCAAAGTTTATTTTTCTTCCTACTGGTTTTCAGATTTTGTTCGAACTTCATCGATGGGGTCTTTGAAGAACGAAGAGGATTTAAGCTTGGAAGAGTCCAATGAAGCTATCTTATATGTTAATGGTGTCCGGCGAGTACTGCCGGACGGATTGGCTCACCTAACGCTTCTTGAGTATCTTAAAGGTAATTTGGAAGGACTGGATTGATGCCAATGTTTAGTTCGGGTTTTCCAGTAATAGGATTTGATTGGAAACTTTGAAACTTCTCGTTTACATTTTAGAGTGCAAGTGCACTAATTAACGGACCACTTCGCGGCTGATACATGCTAAAAATATTGGAATTGGATCATTTCCAATGTTTCAAGAGATGAAATCACTTTCCAATTTCCTCCATACCAACTTGAAATGTATCCATTCTAGATGACGAAGTGTGGATTGAAGTTCTATGGAATATGTTTTCCTTTCCTTTTCTTTTCTTTTCTTTCTTTAAGTAGAACCGATTCATTTGTGATTTTGTTGCAGCATTTGCTATCCAGATACAATGGTTCATTTAAATAGATAATCCCTGAGACTATTAATGATTGAACTCTTTTCTTTGCAGAATTTGATTGAGGTGACTCAATTGAGTCAACCATGATTATTAGGCAAGTAGGGCGTTGAGGCGGTTGTTACTTCTTTGCAACAAAAACATAAAAATATAAAAAAAAAGAAACAACACCAAAGTAGACTCGATGAATGACCCGTGAACATTGCTAATGAGTGCTGCCATTATGGGATGTCATAATTCTATCAAGTAGATGATAATTTCCTCTATTACTAAAAGATGATGCTTCAACACGCTGAACTCCTCCTTAAACGTTCAGTCTCCCCTTCAGCTTTATAATTTACAGATTTGATAACCAAATTTTGATTAATTTTCTCTGTTTTTCTTTAAATGTTCCGGACTTTATTGTTGCTCTGTTCTTCTATAAACCGTCTGATTATATTTACTTCTAAATTAGTTGCCCCTATAAATTGCATTTCATTGTCAAGCAGTATCTAATGTTGTTTCTGAATGCAGATATAGGCTTGACAGGAACAAAGTTGGGCTGTGGTGAAGGTGGTTGTGGGGCTTGTACAGTAATGGTTTCTTATTATGATCAAGTGTCAAAAAGATCAATGTGAGTCTCACAGTTTGTTGTTTTTGAATATAACATATATCAAACATTTACAGAATATCCAAGCTACTTCAATAGAATGGTTAACCTGGTGGGAGCCCTCCCTCTCTCTCATTCTTATATCAAAGAACATATATACAAAATGTGTACGAAATTACTGAATCAATGTGAGCCCTTTGTGGATTAATCTGATTGTGTTCACCATTGGAGGGGTCCAAGAATGTATGCATTCTTCAAGGGACTGGAAGATTAGTTGTTGTTTAGTTATTATACGGGACCAAGTTGTAAACCATGGAAACAAGTTGGTTCTTCCAAATTTTATTGGATTACAAGAGTTACTTGTTGTTTAGTTATTATAGGGACTTATGGTTTGTTTCAGTTGGCAAGCCAGTGAAGTTCTATAAATCCACTTTTTTGTCATTTTATGTGATGCATTTTATGTTACACACACACACAATCACTTATTGTATGATTTATTTGAAGCACGTATTCTTCTATGTCTTACTTACAATTCTGTTTCATAAGTTGTTAATATTTGTTTTGTTGGAAAGCTTAAGCCCTTACATAATCATCAACTATGGAACTCTCCGACTGTATTATGAATTTAATTATGAAAACATATTACAGGCATCATGCAGTCAATGCATGTTTGGCTCCTTTATATTCTTTAGAAGGGATGCATGTAATTACAGTGGAAGGAATTGGGAATCGTCAGAATGGTTTGCATCCAGTCCAGGTGACATATGATTATCTTGTATTTGTTCCTTGTACAATGCTTTTAAAATGATTTTCCCATTTCATTGAAGTATTTCCAGTAATTCTTGTCAATAGTTTCAGTCAAAAGACCAAAAAACTGATCTCTATTAATGTTTGAAGTTAGGCACTTATTGCTATAAGCTTCTCTTCAGTGAGATACTTTTCTTATCTTCTTGGTGTTTTAGGATTTTAAGTGCAGCCCTCATTGTATATCAAAATCTTATCGTAGCACCAAGTTTGAAGTTTTGATATTGCTAGAAGTATAGCCCATGCACAATGTATTGTGTATTTCTCAAAATGTTATAGGATATGGGAAAATGATAAAATTGCCTAGGCCATTGTTATTTTTGGAGTATTCAGACTGTTATGCATATGTGGAATGTAAGTACTTTAGGAAGGAAGTTTATATTCAAGGACTTCAATGTAACATTAGTTTTTTTTTTTTTTTTTTTTTGTAATTTTGGATAGTTCTAGTATTAATATAAATTGTGAGAGAAACATAGGCATGTGATATTATTAGACCAAGTATCATTGATAATGGAGAAAGTGCACGGAGGAAGGTGATGAGTAATCACCTGAAGAAAAAAGAGGGAAAAAAACAAAGAAAACGTACATCAACCCCCCCTTCCAATAGGGGTGTAAATGTGTAATTTCGATGAGTTGAGTTGGGTTGAAGGTCAACCTAGGCCTAACCCTAAAGGTGAAAACCTTGGGCTCAGGCCTAGCCCAACTTGAGGTTTGGCCCAAGTTTATCGACCCAGGCCCAACTTAAGCTTAACCCGACACAACTTGGGCTGGGTTGGGCTTGGGATGGGCCTAGCTTAGTTGGACTTAGGTGAGTAGGTAGGGTTTGGAAGAATTTATGAATATATTTTTATATAGCCATCTTTTATTGGGCTTTTTTGCCCAATTATGAGTAGAATTGATTGAAAATATGTACAAATTTCATCTACAAATGTACATATACATATTTTATACATATCTACATGTATATATTATTAGAAAAAAAGATAATTTTATATAAATATAATGCTTGTATGTATGTATTTGTTCCAGATGTCTTAGGTTAGGTTTTGGGCTACGGGCTACCTGAGGCCTTGACCCAACCCAACCCCACCCAAGTTTAGGTTAAACTCAAGTTTTCTAGCTGAGGCCTGGCCCACAGCTTGAAAACATAGGGCCCAACCCATGTGAAAACTTGGGTTGGGTCAGGCTCAGGTTGAGCCCACCCAAATTGGACCCCTACTTTTGAGACCCAAAAATGATCAGAATTCTGATCCAAAATACTTATCAAATTGTCAACTTGCTGAGAACTATTTCAGATTAAGAGGAAAAACTGGAATAGAAAAATTGACAAGAAAGATTAAGTAGAAGAAGGGAGCAGGATAGAATGCTCTGCCGCTCCAAGTAATTGTATTTATATATGAGAGGTTTAAAAACTGTACAAAGACCAAAATACCTTGCCACCCTAAGAGAAAAATAAAAACAAATATAAAACAATATAAACAGGCCCATAATTAATCTATTACAACTCTAGACTCCCCCTCAAGTTGGAAATAAATATTCGCTATTCCCAACACGCTGAAATCAATTCACCAAAAAAAAAAAGAAGAAATCAGTTTCCAGTTTAGTTCTAGTAACTGCTTTGGTGAAGACACCTGCARGCTGTAGATCAGATGCGATATATGGCAAACAGGTCTCTCCTGAGATGCAATGAATGTTCAGAGAATATTCTTGAATGTGGTGGATAGATGATACGTTTCTTAATTTTTAAAGCTGTATATATATTGCAGTTGTATAAATATTATATATAATATATTATACAAAATTGTATCATTCTTGAATGTGGTGGATAGATGGCAAATTTCTTAATTTTTAAAGCAAATGACCAGGGTTCAAGTCTCTTAATTCACATTTTCTACAAAGTATGTGTGTAATAAAGTAATATATATATATATGTATATAATAAAGAGTCATTAATTAACACAAATAAAGGAATTGATCAATGGTAATTGAGCAATACACATAAATAAGAGGTTATGGGTAAGATTCAAAATTTGGATATGATGCATCGAGCATATTGAATCGTATCGGGGGCTCACTGAAATGCCTTTTCTAAGAATTTTCTATAAACTCTCTTTTTTAATTGTTAAATAATAGTTAAGCAAGCCCCTTGTAAAAATCTGAAGTTAAAATTTTTTTTTGACAAGGTCAAAACACCTGATATGCATGTTTGTGCATATAGAGAGTATTGGTACCTTAAAGTTTAAACCTTAGTCATGGGTTCAAGTCTTGTCATTGTCATTTTGAAATTTCATTTTAGTTAGTAACCCAGGTGGCTTTATGAATTGGAATCAATTCGCCAATTCTTCGGTTAAATTGGCTAGTCATCTGGTTTGGTCTAGTTTTCTATTAAGTCCGGTTTCTAGGGTATGATTGAACCAGCTAGTGTCCCAGGTTACGGTTCAACCTGTTCGATCGGTCAATTTGGTCTGGTTTTCTAAACATTGGCTGCAAATCTCTCCTCGATAAAGTGGTAACCACCTCAGTGTGTTTAGTATGGCCATGCTATATTGGTTTGTGGACAATATTGATAGCTTCTTGGTTATATATGAAAACAGAATGTTGACCCCACCCCAGAGAGTGAGAATATATATATGAAATATGTATATTTATAAAAGGCCCTTGTGGGGCAAAGAAGAGAAAATAAGAAAGAAAGAAATCCCAAGTTACCTCAGCCTACAACTGTTGGTTTCTCTCCTTGTCGGATTGACTGGATCCCCTTGTTCACCTATGTATGGTGTAAGGCTCCTCAAGCTGGACTATAGATGCCATGCGTATTGAGGTTGCTAAAATATTCCCTTTTTGGTGTTCGTAAAGGGATTGAATCTCAATTTACCTCAGCCTACAGCTGTTGGTTACTCCTTTCTGAATTGACTGGATTCCCCTGTTCACCTTTGTATAGTGTAAGACCCTCCCTTAATCTGGACCATAAATGTCATGTATATTAAGTCGTTAAAATATTCCTTTTTTGGGAATTGGCAACAAAAAATAGTAAAAGGTTGTTTTTCAGTGCATGCAAAGTGATATTAAATGAATGATTTCCATAGAAAATCCTATTTTTCAGTCTTGGGTTGACATCAAAAACAAGTGTTTTTGGAAAGTTAGAACTAGTTTTAAGAAAATAATGTTACTTCAGTTTTCCATAAGTTATTTTCCAAAGAGAGGGTTCCTCTTGATACAATTCTCTTTGATTTCCATTTATTTCTGACCACTCAGGTTTATTTCCCAAGCTAAACCATAGACCAGTAAAATTAGGAAGAATAAGGAGAAAGTCGTTATATTTAGTTTTCATCCTTCTTAGCCTAGGTGTCTTGCCTGTATAGAGTTGTATTTCTCTTTCTTTTTTTTTTTGTTTTTATTTCTTGTAGGCTACCTAGGGCTAGTGCACAAGGCTCCTGCCAATGTGGGGTCTGGTGAGAGACAGATGTACATAGCCTTACCCCCCCTACAGATACAGAGAGAAGCTGTTTCCAAGATTTGAACCCTGGTCACCCATGTAACAATGTAGCAACCCAGCCATTGTGCCATTTTATTTTTTGATCAGCAACCCAACCATTGGCTTATCTGTTCTGATCTGGGTGTTCTATCAGGGCTTGGGAGGTGTTTTTTCCTTTCAAAAAGGGAAAAAACTAACCTGTCCATGTGATGTACCGGAAATTAGCATCTAAGAATCCATTGATAAATAAGTGGCTAGCTAGACAGTTCCATAGCCCTTTATGGAGAGCATCTTTCAAATATCTTAGGATTCCTGTAAATATCATCCTGATATGGTTGGGAAGGGGAATGCTTGAGAAAATTTATAAAACCTTCTGGAAAGGCAATATCTGGGTGCCATAGTCAAAATGATTAGCTTCATGATCAATCTCTTCATCCTTGATCATCAAAGTAGTCAACTTGCTCTGCTTCAGTCCTCATACTGGGATCCATTGGAATGTAGAATGGCATAAACCTAACATATTCCTTCCCATTAAGAGACACTATACTTTTCTCAGGTTGTGCCACTTATGGCTCAGAATGTACTTCATTAGCCCATTTTTTTTCATAAAATGCTTGATCAAATGAATTTACAAATTTAATGATCCTATTGTGATGATTTCCTTTGACAATTATATCATCCAAATACATGTCAAGAATGACCACACTAGATTTTGTACGACACAAAACACAGAATACCACTTAACTGGATTTGTAAAATCAGCCTCTAGGAGATTGTTTGAACCATAGCCTTCTTAATCCAGGAGTTATGATATCATATCTGAAGCCGCCTCATCGATATGGGCTTCAAAAGGTTCTTTTCTGGTTTGAAATGATTCATGCAATGAGATCTTGTCTTTCATTTTTTTTCCTGATATACAGATTTTGCTGGTTGAGATATTGAGAAAACTCTTTTTATGCTCTGTATAATATCTGATTTCAAGATGGTTTGGTTTCTGACAAGATATGCTAATTTATAAATGAATAGGATGCAACTATTTCATGTTGTTTTGGGTCACCTTGGAAATTCATACATAGCTTAGGATGGAGCTGTGTCCCCTAGTGAATTGCAGTATATGTATAACTCCTGTTTGAATTTGTTGACTTTTATTTCATGATTTATGGTGTTTCATTTCTTGTAAATTTAACTGCTATGAGCAAACAAGAACTCATGATTTTTCTTTAAATAACAGTGACATGAATACATTCTATCTGATTTCAGCAGCATTTCAATGAATAACTTCTGTAAACAGCAGTTTGCAGTTATACAATTATCAACTATATTTTTGAACTTCTAATTGATTTGCAGGAGTCATTAGCACGTGCTCATGGCTCACAGTGTGGATATTGTACTCCTGGTTTTGTTATGTCCATGTATGCATTATTGAGGTCCAGTAAAACACCTCCAAGTGAAGAACAGATTGAAGAATGCCTTGGTGGAAATTTGTGTCGCTGCACTGGTTACAGACCAATTATTGATGCTTTTCGGGTTTTTGCCAAAACTGATAATTCCTTGTACAATAACCACTCCTCTGAAAGGCTTCTAGAAGATCAGTTTGTTTGCCCTTCAACTGGGAAACCTTGCTCCTGTGGATCTAATGTTGTAAGTGTTAATAAAGATTTTGTAAATTGTCACAACAGATATAGTCCTCTCTCTTATACTGAAATAGATGGAAGCTCATATTGTGAAAAAGAGCTTATATTTCCTCCAGAGCTTCTGTTGCGGAAGATAAAACCTTTGCATTTGAATGGATTTGGTGGACTTAAGTGGTATCGACCCTTAAAACTTAGACAAGTATTGGATTTGAAGTCTAGGTACCCAGATGCTAAATTGATCGTTGGTAATACTGAAGTAGGTATTGAGATGAAGTTGAAGAGAATCCAGTACCAGGTATTGATTTCTGTTGGTCATGTACCTGAACTTAATACTTTAAGAATGCGAGATGATGGGTTGGAGATAGGTGCAGCTGTAAGATTGACAGAACTGGTAGAATTTTTAAAAATGGCAGTAACTCAGCGTGCTGCTTATGAAACTTCATCTTGCAAAGCCTTAATTGGACAGATAAAATGGTTTGCTGGGAAACAGATACGAAATGTTGCTTCTGTTGGTGGGAATATCTGTACTGCCAGTCCAATATCAGACTTGAACCCACTCTGGATGGCTGCAGGAACAAAGTTCCAAATAATTGATAGTGAAGGTAATATCAGAACAGCCCTAGCCAAAGAATTCTTCCTGGGTTACCGTAAGGTAGATCTGAAAAGAAATGAGATTTTACTTGGTATCTTTTTACCTTGGACTCGGCCTTTTGAGTATGTTAAAGAATTCAAGCAGGCACACCGAAGGGATGATGATATTGCAATTGTAAATGCTGGAATGCGTGTTCTTCTTGAAGAGAATAGTGGCCAATGGTCTGTTGCAGATGCATCAATTGTTTATGGTGGAGTTGCTCCTCTTTCTATTTCTGCATCAAAAACCCAACTTTTTCTTTCTGGAAAAACATGGAATCAGGAACTTATGCAGGGTGCATTGGGAGTATTAGAAAATGATATTGTTCTCATGCAAGATGCACCAGGTGGAATGGTGGAGTTCCGCAAATCTTTGATGTTAAGTTTCTTCTTCAAATTTTTCCTTTGGGTTTCTTATCAGATAGATGGAGAACAGTCTTCTAGAATGGGTCTAACACATTCCCACCTATCMGCAATTCAACCCTTCTGCAGACTGCCATCTACTGGAAGACAGATTTATGAAATTAAGAAACATGGAACATCTGTTGGGTTACCTGAGGTTCATCTCTCATCCAGACTTCAGGTATGTGCAACTTCTTCTCTTATCTAAAGAAAGATTAAGAAAAGGAATGGAAGTACATCATAATGTTTATAAATTATAATCTTCTGTGAGTTGTTTGTTGGTAATTGTGGGTTTGGGTGTTGATCTATATTTGTGACAAACTGACATATTGCAAAAAGGTACTAACGGATAGGTTTCCATAATCTGTAACTTTTCATATTATAAAATATTCAGTCTTTAATTATGTTAGCATTCCCTACCATGCAACTAGAGGAATGGTGTGAAAAAGTGCTTGAATAACTATTAAACCCTAGATTTCTTAAGGGAACAATAGAAAAACTTCTCGCAAGGTGTAGTGGCAAGCAGCTTAATATTTATTGAGAACTAACATAAAAAGAATATGTCATCTTCTGGTTACATTTTGATATTGTAGATATGCCAGTATTCTTCCCTTAATAAATATGAATATCAAAACAAGAATCCTAGAATCCTGGTCAAGTGAAAGAGCCAGAACCAATCAAAGGGAACATGCTGGCTACCTACAAAATATGGAGAAGACCCTAATTTTTGTTGAAAGAACACTATCACAAGTTGCTATTTATGTCACCATTTGCAGGTCCATATGAAAGTAAAATTTAACTCAATTGAAAACCCAGTAGAGCATTTGTTGAATCCCTTCTTTGCTGAAAAGATTGTTGAAAGCCTAAGGACATTTATGTCCTTTTATGCATATTTGTATTTGGGCACCTATTCAAGGGCCACTTTGTAATTTTGCTCAGGAGGTTAAATGAAGAGTCTCTTGCTGTGAACAATAACACACCAAGCATTCTCGACACAACCCTTCTAACTTTTTCATCACTAATACTTCTAACTTGGTATCAGAGCATCTCATCGCTAAAACTTCTGACTTGGTATCAGAGCATCGTACGATCAAGGAAACCATCTGCTGCTGGTCGCGACAGACCTGCTGACGTCAACACATCGCCGACTGACGTCAGCAGTATGTACAATCGGCAACATTCTTATGGGTTTTTGATGTTCGTTGATTTGCCCTGATTTTAGGGGATTTTTGGTATAGGTTTCATGGTGGTTTGAAGCTGTTTTAGATTTTTCTTGGATTTTTCATATGAAAATTAGCAAAAAATCCAGATCTAGAGTTTAGGGTTTGCATGCTTGTATGGTGGGTTGGTTGCTGATGAAACCTCTTGTGTTTGAGTCGCGGTAAACCCCTGGGACTGTAGGAAGTAGATCTGGATTTTGCGGAGTCCTAAAACATTTTTGGGAAATTTTTATCTTCCCCTGTTGCCGCTAGTACATATTTTTCCTGGTTTTACTATTGTAGCTCATGTCTAACCTTGTGAGAAAGGTGTTTAGGAGTTCGGATGGTGTTGGGATACTGTAGTGCTGGTGAGAAGGTGTTTCTGGAGGGGTTGTGATCGATGGACTCACACAAAGATGCTCATGTACCGTCCTTATAAGAAGTAATGACAATGCCAGAGGGTAGATTACTACTGCAAAACTTGATTTTACAATTTTTCTTGAATGGTCTCAATTAGTGGAATAGGTAAGCTTGGATTTGTTACCGGTAAGGAAGCTAAGCCAAAGCCTAAGGATCCAAACCATTCCAAATCAGTGGGAACAAGATAATCTACTGGCTATGTCATGGCTTGTGTGCTCTACGCAGCCACATGTCGCCCGGAACCATATGTTCCAACCGCTAAAGATATTTGGGACAAACTAATTGCAACTTATTCTCAAGCGAAAACCACTGCTAGAATCTATTAGTTGTGAAGAGAAGCATGTAATATGCGATATGGGGAGAAATCGGTGGCCATGTATCTCTCCTCCTTACAATCAATTTGGGAAGAAATTAATCATTTAGAGGTTTTGGAGTGGAAGGATCCTATTGATGCTGAACAGTATAGGAAGTATATTGAAAAAAACCCAGCTTTTGATTTTCTTGCTGGGATGAATGTTGATTACGATTTCACCAAGCAACACATCCTTAGTGCTGATATTTTGTCACACCACAACATATTCTCTTATGTAGAGTAGAAGATCAAGACTGTAATCAGTCTTGAATCCTAATAGGTTTTAGGTTTACAAAATAGAAGAAAAGTGAGAGAAAGGAGAGAGAATAGAAGAGAAACAGGAGAACACAAGTGGTTGAGTTTAGTACATAATGGAAAGGACACATAATGGAAGAGAAACAGGAGAAACATAATAGAAGAGAATCTGTTAGAAGGGACAGATTCTAACAGATCTGCCGCCGCTACTTTCTTATTATTTATAGGTTATGTTTAGTACATAATGGAAAGGACACATCTGCCCTTAGTACTTRCATAATAAATAAAGTAAATAAAAGCTGAAATAAATAACAACTGAATTA